TAAATACAACTAGAAAGTATTATACTGAGTAACCTTTTAAACATTTTCTACTTCGAGGAAAGTGTGCAGTTTATTGGAGAAGGAAATTCCATTTGCAAAGAAAGCCAAAGACCATGAAAAAAGTTGAATGTAATACAAATAACGAGCCACCAGTTCAAATTATAGCACACTATAGGGTAGATTTTCATAAAGATAAGACTCTAAATCAACCTTTAAATTTTCATAACAAAATGCCAAACATGCCACCTAAATCACACTGACACCAAGCATCTAGAAGAAAATCCTAAGATATACAATTCTCCTTTCATTAGTAATAGAGAACGCCTATCATCACCTGACATTTGAAATACTTATGTTGCAGATTAATGACATGCCAAACTTTCATTTCATTACTTCTTCATTTCCCCAAATACATTCTATGATAGTAATCCATGAGATATTCCTAGAGAAATAAAAGTTTTTATGACCACTTAAGTTTGAGAAACATTATTTACACAAAGTTCTACAATTTTCTCCACTGCAGAGCATTAGAGCCTTTACTATGCAAATGATGCAGCATTTCTCAAACTCCTGAAAGCTCAGAGCACTGTTCTCCATAGACTATTCTGTGGGAATGATATTCTATAGGTTATGTTTATTGAAGGAAATGTTGCCTTACAGTATTTAAAGGACACCAAGTCAGAGCGCTAGAGAAGTACAGAGCTAGACTCTATTATTCAATCCCTGAATTGACACACTTTTATAAATCCCAATTTAATGAACTCTCAACCTGCTGTCAAAGGCCAGATTACAAAATGGCCTTTGTAAACTATGTCCTCGTCATTCTTATAAAACTGCCATTGCAACATTGTTCAAATACTCTTTGGTACTTCCTACATATAAGACAATGATTCCTCATTTTTAAAAAATGAGGTCCATGTGACTTTTTGTGTTTGATTTTTGCCTTTGATCTCTGAAATCTCTGAACTAAGTTGTGTGCTCAAATGCAGAGCCTTCACTCAGGGGGGTTTCTGATATAATGACCACATTTTATCCCCTTTCTCTTTATTAGCTTCCATGTGTCTCTTTACCTACATCTCAGAAGTTTGATTTTTACTTTATATGTATCCAAATACCTTCTAAATGTAGAGATCATAAATAAAAAATAAAACCAGGTTTAATATCCTTGGTTTTTCTGTAAATATTTGTTAAACAAGAAAAAACATTATCCTTGCTAAAGCTAAAGGTAAAAACATAAACATCATTGCTAATGACAAAAATATTACTTATGCCACGATAATGTTTTAGGCATTAACCAATGTTATTTTTGATAATTACAAGTCTGTACTGAGCTCACTCCCTATAGCAAAATTACCCTTCTTCCAGTTATTGTGGCTTGAAGGATAGCAGAAGGCTAAATTGAATGTGATAAAATATTTAAATGACATTTTAAAAAGCTACTGTGACAATCAAAGAAATAATACTGGGATGTAATACACAGGCCTACTGTAAGTTTTTTAATATGCTAATGTACATGGTTTTAAAGTGTTAGGAATACACATTTGCTGAGTTTTCAAGAGAACTTGCTGTTTCAGAAGCAAACGGACAAAAGTCCAGAGAGAACAGGAACTTGAGAAGTCTCAGTAAGGTCATGTAGATCCAGAATTTCAATTAAAAAACATACATACAAGCACACCAGCTAGTTAGTTCAGTAAATTCATGCAGGGAGTCTAAAACGGAAGTCTCCAACATGGTACTCAGCCCGAGTATGGACACCATAAAGTGCTTCGCTAGGTAGCAGGACTAAAATAAAGGAAAACAGTGAGACCTCACTTGACCTTCGTGCCCGCTGTTCTGAGGCACTTGCTGTTCAGGGTTGTGCTGAGAGAAGAAAGCTAACTACTGCCACGTGGAAGAACCCTGCACCTTCGTTCATGCTCACTGTATTTCAAAGCATTGCATTTAACCTGTACTCAGTTAAGTAACTTTACCAACTATAAATTTTAACTGAACTTGTCATCAAAAAAATAGACAAGGGGCTTGAAAAGGTCCCTACCAAGAAATGGATACAACACTAATAAGTGAATTGAAGCAAACAGAAAAAGAGTAGAAGTGACATAGGTCCTAATATGAATTCATCTTGAGCCGCACAGAAAGAAGGACCAGGATGAGGAGGATGGGGGACCATGGAGCGGGATGGCGAGGGAGGTGGGGAGACATATACAGCAGGGGTCTAGCGAATACCACCAACTCAGGAAATGAGTTGTGGTCGAAAGCTGAGTTGAGGGAAACTTGGACAGAATAAAAAGGATGCTTGCTCCTCAAGGGAAATATGGGAGCAATAAGAAATATCCTTGGCCCGCTTCAGAGTTAGAACTAACCATATGTCCCTGGGCAAGTTACTATAACCATATGAAACTCATTTAAAAGGTCCGTAAAATGAAGTGATTAAAATAGATCTCTAATGTTTCTTCCAGATCCAATATTCTATGACATAGGTAGAGCAAAGGGGGAAAAAAGATGACAGTGATCTTGAAGGTCAAGCCCCCAAAAGCACCACTTAATGAAAGTAGGGTGAAACTGAGTTAGAAAGAAAGTAGGTGCTGACAAATTCAATGAGTGGTGTGAGTCTATGTGCTCGTGGCCACCTGCACTAAAGGTAATCTGAATACCTGAAGGTGGTTATACTAAAACATGCGAACTGACATGACTGAGATGCAAAGGACAAGAGTGCGTGTGTGTGTGCACAGTTACCATCAAACAAATGGCAAGGACGACTCATAGGAGGAAAACTTTCTAAAAAGAAATGGCACTTGAAGTATATGTTGGGGGACGGGGGGTAGATATTTTTCACAATTATAGGGGCACTCCCAACTTTTAATGAGCCAAAATAAATATACTGAGACCCTACAATGTGCACATAGTCACACATAATGGGGAACTGCCCTGCACCCCACATGTCTTACAAATAACTCAGTGGACATGCATGCAAGCAAAACACCTACTATAATTATCCAAGACTAGACTATATAACACCACCTTTTTGCATGGGTTCTAATATATATTGAATGTTCTTTCTAGGAATACACCTAATGTGTATTTTGAGAAAATACTAAAATTCACTGTGTTCAGAACTTTTATTAAAGGTGTTCATGGAAAATTACATTACTGGTTAACTTTAAATTTCTATCGGCAATTTACTACATGTGTATCAGTCTCCAACCGCAGCTATGGCAATCGCGGTCATTCTACGTATATGTGCATTATTCTATTCTCCATTATGCCTTCACAGATGCTCATGTCTGACATTTGCACACTGGAACATATAAGGTTTTATTAAT